AAAACATTCAAATCAATCAAAAAGTGTCACCATTTTAGCTCTTAAAAGTGAAAGGCAATTTGCCTTGCATGTGTAAAATGACCTATATGTAAGACATTGAAGTTTAGGAGTTATATATGTGAATACATGGGGATTGAGTAGTGTGTTTGTAAATCTTCCTTCATTTTTAAAGTATAGATTTTTGAAGTGGGGATCTAATAATATTAGTAATAAGTATTTCCTTAGTTGTTATGCGAGTTAAATTTACATTTAGCCTTATATTGAAAAAAAATTATATGATTGATTTTGTACTCATGTTATTTTCAACAAAGTATGACTAACTGTTGCTATTGTTGCCACTGCCTATAGCAGCCACCGCCTATAAGTTTTGACCAACTGTTGCTATTGCAACCACCGCCTATAGCGTCTATGCTAACTACTGATGTCTAGCAACCAACTATAATCTTTGTGCCAAACTATTAATATTATAGCTAAAAATTGTATTTGTTGTAACACTATCACAACTATTAGGATTAAACTACTATTATCATATTTAATTATTTGTTTTGTTATTTCACCTTCTCTAATTCATGAGATGAGTGGACCTAAATACTTACAAACAGATATTGGATTACATTGATTGTACAAGACCCCATAGTTTTTTTTCCTTTCAAGAGTTTTTCAAGTAAAAAAATATTGTATCTTCTCTTGCAATTATTTATTTATATGTGTGTGTATGTGTGTGATGGATCTTCATATAATGTTATGACATTAAATTACCACTCTTTCGTATTGAATCTTCTTGCTCGCAACAATCAAAGTAAATTATATGCCAAAATTAATTATTTTGATGGTAGGTATAATATTTATTATTGATGTGCTCTAAAATTGTTATATTGATAAATTGTTAATGTGTAGATCCAACTGATCTTAAAACCTGCTCTTATGCTTGGATTAACATTTTGAATTCACAAAGGTATTTTTTAAGTATAATAGAAAAAAATAAATTCATTGTGTATCAATTTTCTTAAAACTATTAGCTAAATTCTTCAGCTAAAAATTTATCAAGATGAGTCACATGGTAATTTAGTTTTCCTTCATAGAAATATAATAAATAAAAAATTATTTGACTAATTTCATGTCTTTGTGGGTATGACTCAACCCATCACAAACTAACATGTGGTTGTGGTTAGGTTGCGGGTTTGTGGGTCAGACTTGACCTGTCAAACATTTGGATGTACAATAATTATTTGTGGTCATCGGAGGAGTTTGTATCCTCTATCAATGTTTATTACGTCATTAGACTGTAATATTAAAAAGTAAATGAGTGATCAGGTAGTGAAAATAATGTTTTGATACAAAAAAGGTGAAATTACTTTTTATTTTATTTTTGTATCAAATGGAGTTTATTATTATCATAGAAATGAATTCAATACAATAATATATGTTGCTTAACCAAATGAAATGAGACTTTCTTACCTAATAACCACAAGATCAACCATTATACTTTTGATAGCTTGAATTAATTCAAAGTAATTTAAATAACAATGATGTAAAAAACTCATAGTAACTAGAGAGAATTTGGGTGTATATGGTATGAAATATTTCATATATATAAATAGAAAGAAGATTTAAATAAACTTATTGGATTTTGATTACTTGTAAAATAAATCATTGAAAATAATTTTTTGTATGTTTGGATTGAATGAAGTAAAATGGCAATAAAAACTCTCCAAGCAAATATTTTAGTTAGATTGAGCTTGTTGAACTCAAGCAAAGTAAAATGCAAAAGCTATGCGGTATTTGAAAATGGAGGAAGTACTTTATTTAGAATTTGAGCTAGAGGAGGTGTAGAGTGGACTAGTAGTAGAAATCGAAGGAGGACATGATCTTAGACTTGAAAACCATATCAAAGAGGAGGCAAAGTGTAATTCGTAGAAAACCATATCAAAGAGGAGGCAAAGTGTAATTCGTGGCCACCAAAGTTGGAGGAGAGCACAATCTAGAATTAAAGCTGAAGACAAAGCTTGACACAGAGGTAATAGATGTTAGGACTGCATCAGAGACATCATTAGGTGGAGGGATTGCTAACCAATGCTAATAAAATCAATGCAGGAGTTTGAGTCGTTGACATTGGCTATAATGGAAGTGACACAATTAGAAGGTGGAGCATTCTGAGATTCCAAAGTTGATCAAATATGCATAATTTAGAATAAAAAATTTTGGGTCTTTCTAAAATTTAATATCTCCAAATCTCATACATAAAAAAAAAAAACAAAATACATACATGCAAAATATAATACAGCTCTAATTTTCCAAATCAAGGAACTTTCGGAATTCAATATTTACCATGTTCACCTTATGTGAGAATAAATATTGATTTTAACACATGAACAAGAATTTGTATTATTATTTGTCGTGTATATTAAATTTTAACAAATTTAAGTCAATCTTCTTATGGCATTAATGTTTAAAAGAAAAAGTCTCTCTAAAATAAATATAGCACTCTTAAAGAACCAATTTTCCAATTTTTTATTACTCGCGCCACCAAAAGGCCCCTTGGCGCCTTGAAAATCTCTAATTCTCCAAAAAATCATGATACGTAATCAACTTCAAGTATGCCTATCCATAATTGCCATTTTAACTAGTGGCTTAATAAAATAATAGTTATTTTAACTTTGGTTTGTCAAATAAAGAGGATCGATGCATCAAGTAGGCACATCTATACTATTTCTTGTTCTAATTGTTGCACTTATTGCATGGGCAACAACGGTGAAAATTGAGAGCACTTGACAAGGAGAAAGTCTATTTGTGGTCCTAACTTTTTCGCAATTCTAGTTAAATTCAGTCAAAAGCATAAATAAAAATAAAAATAAAGTAAATGAAAAGGGAAAATCATGAGAAGTGACAATAGGTAACAACTAATTTAATTGATAAGTATCCAAGGAATTATCATAATATTTCTAAATGATTAATTTTTTTTTAAGACTTTGACAACTAATTTAAGAAAACTATAGAAAATTCACCATAAAAATTAGAGAAAAAACCCACCAAAAAAGATATGTACAGACAAACTAACCACACAATTCTTTTGTAATTAAATAGTTAGCACTTAAAAACTTGTTTATTTACATGCATGTCACTCAATTAATGTTTAATATCACATTAAAAATATCATATTAATTATCTTTTTGAAAATGGAATGCATATTTTCATGTAAAAGTTTATGATATTCATGTATTATAAATGTAATATTAAATGTTGGGTATTAAATATAAATACACCAAAAAAAAAATTGTGTGGAATGCAAGTAAATCTCCATGAAAAAAAAGTAATGGTTGATGGATGGTAAATAGTGCATTTATGTTTGATAGAAATCTTAAGAGCAATTACTACTCTTCATTCCAAAATTAAAAATTAAAAAAAAAAAATCTAAAAGACAAAATGAATATTCACTTTACTTCTGCCTTCAGAATTATTCTAAAACGAAAAATAAATATTTCTTCAAATAAAAAATTATAAATTTATCATTTATCGTATAAACCAAATTTAACCTACTTTTCTCGCTTGTTGGACTTGACAGTCGCAGAGACGCGGCGTACTACGGAGCGCCGCCCGTTTATGATTACAAAGTGCCCTCTAGTTACGATGAAAAGTTGGTAGGATAGTTATGCAAACAAAAACAAAAGCCAAAATCTAAATAAAGACCGGGCATTAATTCCTATAAGAATAATGCAATGAAAGGTTTGCTTTCCCAAACCAATTTCACGTCCCAAAAAAGTATTTTTATTGCGCTGCAAATTTCTCTTATTTTAAATTCATTTTGATATGAAAATCATCTTTATAGGTCAAAATTCACCCACAATAAACTTCATAGACAAGGATCAACCCAACTATCGATAGGATATGATTCTCGCTAGAGAAACTTATTAAGCTGACCTGCCAACCTAACTTACGGATGTGTCAAATTGTCTTGATGAATTTGCTCATCCACTGTGACACAATGATCATTGAGATTCACTAACTTAGCTTGCCTCTTCAGCTTACCATAACAAGTCAAAAATCGAGCTTGACGTCAAAATTTGATGTATGTCACATCCAAAAATAATAAGCTGCCCGACATGCACGTTGTGCTATTTTCCATATGATACGAATTATATTTTAGTATTATCTTATACATGTAGAAAGACGATAAAAAAAAAATTCTCTCTTTAAGTTTTTTTCGCGGACTTTGTAATGTGACTCAAGAAACTTTCATAGTCCTCTACTTTTATTGAATCATCTCTTTCACTCCATCGGAAATGGATCGAAAAACAAAATATATAGTTCATGTTTTAGAGTATACATCCTTCTTTTACTCTCACCTTTCTTGCATGGCTCTCACCATGACTATCTAAACTCAAAGACATTATGGGTCCCGGTCTCACAAAAGATCCAATATTATCACACATAATGGAGTTCGATTAGTTAAAAACAAAGAAAAAAAATCTTAAAAGAATAGAGTCCAAGCATCATGTTATTCGGCAAATAAAAATCGGAGACTTTTCCAGATAATGAATTTGTAATTACGAGAAAATTAATTTGCGTTGAGGTTTGCTTGATCATAGCAATATATATATATATATATATATACAAAAATATCTTATTAAATCAAATATATTTTATGAGAAATCCGTGTTATTTTGGAATGCCCTCTCTACAGTATTTTTTTTCTTTGTTTCACTATACGTGTTCATTTAAAAATCCTGCTTTTCGAGTGAAATGCCAGATGGCAGCTTCACAATAAGGGATGACGACGCAAGGCAGTTCGCATGGGATTACTTTTAATACTAGTCGCCACACCTTTAGTGTGCTCTCCTATTTCCAGCCTGGCTTAACCACGCACGCTAATTGTGATTAAGCATTCGGATTGCTCTCCCCCACTCTTCCCTCGGTTTCAGAATCCTGATTTATTCATCTTAAATCAACAACAAAGTTGAAGTTGAAACTATAACGAAAAGCAAAATACAACAGGTGGCTATTATAAAATTAAAAAAAAAAGTATAAAAATAATACAAAGACTAAAATACCCCAGGTGAGAGTTCATAATTCCATTCACGACCAAGAATCCCATCACTTCCCATTGTCTTGTTCCTTCTCATGTCGGCCCATTGCATTTAGCTCGGCGTCCAGGAGCTTCAAAATTGTCCGCACCACCACTGCTCCGGGCATTAAACATTGAAACTCTTCCTCACATTCATTATTTATATATCATCTTCCTCCCTCGTGCCACCACATTTTCTTCTTTCCTCTCTTTAGAGCTTGCATTTAATAAATAAACATAAAAACAAATCAAACATGATACATTTTCCACCCATTTCACTGTAGTTTTTTTTTTTTTTTTTCACCTTTTCACTATAGATTAATTACTATATGCCTTCAGTAGCCGTTGATTCGTCGACTCATCTTGGAAGAATCTCTCCACGGCGAGGATACTGGGACAGAGCACATCCCGCTCCCACGCTGCAGCCTGCGCCGCCTTCTCATAACCAGCTAGCCGAGCAAGCACCGTCGCCGTTGCATCTACTCGCTGAAGCGGCCAACCCATCTCCCCCAGCCGCTTTATTTTCCTCACCTGCTCCTCCGCCAGCCGCCGTGTGTTGTGCTTTATGGCCTCAATTGCATCCTGGTATGCTTTTGCCGTCCTCCGCCGGAAGTATTCCGCGAACTCTGGGACTCCTATTGCCTTTCGTAATCCAGGATGCCGATCCGACTCCCCGGCGGCGAAGTACCTCTCGAGCTCCTCCACCATTCCCAACTCTACCATCTCGTCCACTCGCCTGTCCAGATACTTCTCAAGTACCGCAGCCTCGACATCCACCCATAACATGCAACTCCGGTAAAGGAGACGATGACTCCCCACCGGAGTTCCAGCAAAAGGGTCGGACTTGGGATTATACCCATTGACCAGCATGGCATGGATGAATGAGTTGGAGCCCCCAGCGATCACCGGAATCCTTCCCCGTGACGTGATCCCCGCCACCGCATCGGCAGCGAGAGATCGAAACCCCGCTGGCAATAGCTCGCCTGCAGCAGGGTCGAGCTCGCCAAGCAAATGGTGCGGCACGCCGCGCCGATCAGGAATCGGCATCTTGTTTGTGGTAATATCGAGGCCGCGGTAGAGCTGGATCTTGTCGGCGTTTATGACCTCCGCTGGGAAACGTTCAGCAACGTCAATGGACAGCTTTGATTTCCCCGTCCCTGTAGCGCCGATGATCACCACGACCCCATCCTTCATTCCCATCCATCTCTGGAGGCGGAGACCGGCCTCCGCTGCCAACCCCATGCCGCAACGCCCATCTCCGGCCCACTGAATGGTCGGGAAAAGCCCTCCCGAGATTCCAGCGGAGCGAGGAAATAGAAATCTCATATAGAATACGGCTTCCAGTTCGATAGCTAGGCGGGAGCTGCAACAATTCAAATGCCTGCTAGGTGTTTGTCGGAATTGCCATTCGCCTCGGCCCTGCAAGGATGGTGGTGGAGGACGGCCCACTCTTTGCAGCCGTACGCTTTTTGTTATGTTCTGCTACTTTGGGCGGGTTTCTCTTCTGCTCGCTCTCGGTCTCTCTGTTTCGGCTGCTTTCTCATGCGCGAATAGGTTGCCCTTTTATTAACCTTCTGAGTTAAAAAGGAAAGCGTAGGTTTAAACAAAAAAAACAAATTTTTGTCGTTAATGATCTTTTCTACCACGCGGGGCTCATTAAATATTGAAGCATTGGCATTGGCATTTCCTTTTTGCACACTTGCCCCTCTCCCCAGCTCCCTCTGTTTGTTCTTTTTATTTTTATTTTGGTTTTCCTTCTTCCTGTTCTTGTCCGTATCTTGTTAAAGAATGGCGAGGCATATAACCTGTTATAGTTGGTTCTACCCTTACCCTGCGCGTCGGAGTAGTAGACGGAGCGCATGCTTCGTGCGTTGGGGCAAACCCTCACCAATTTCAAGTAGCAACATGCTATCCTGCGCCTAGCATAGAGCCATCGTAACGACGGGTTGTGATCTGACAACGAGCATAATTAGAATTGGCATGAAACTAGCTCAAATAGATTTAGTACGACTCGAAATTATATGGAGATTTGTTATTGATACAATTCCAACTAATCTCCATCATCCGATATGAATCTTGAGACATGTCATAAATCTCGATACAGTTTTTTAAGCAAGAAATATTCAAACGCAATAAAAACTCATCAAAACTTACAATCAAACTAACCAACTCAACAAGAAAAACCCAATGTTACCAAAATTAGTCAAATCAAGCTCATATCAAGTCATTAAACCACTCTTGAAATTTTTCAAGTTTTCGGACATATTTAGAAGGTTAAAGAAATGTTGAATCTAGCAAGTCTACAATTAAAATGAGCATATCGACAAGATAAATCCAGCGAGCCAAAACTGCTCAATTTCGACATCGCTTAGGCACTCAGATGCCTATCAAGCGTCGTCTGATCGAAGAAAGCCCTTCGAACTATCCAATCAAAATGGTTCATATTCTTGCATTCATCACACCCCGAACACTATAAATAAAACCCCACCCCTCCCTTGAGAGGAGGTTGAATGTTTGAGAGAAAATTTAAAGTTTTGGACATCCTGCCAACGTTGATCACCGTCGGCTGAGTTTGATCATTGTCGACCACCGTCAACCATCGTCGACACCCGTTGACCAACGTCGATAACTGTCAACCGTGGCTGATCGGCGTCGACCACTGCTTACTGCAGTCGTATACCACCTATCACTGTATTGTCGCTGTCAACCACTACTGATCGTCGTCGACCGATGACCACCATCAATAATCATCTTCACCGTCGATCACCACCAAACAAAAGCCGACAATCGACTTTGTAAATTGGAAAACCTAATAAACCTTTCACGTCTGTGGGACGAGGGACCTCTGTAACCATTAACCTATAATGAATTTTTACATCTAGGCCAAATCCTATGGTTTTTTTTTTCTCATTACAGGTTTTCCGTGTAAAAGCTTCTGGTGTCATTACTGGATGTTTTATTTTATCTGAGTGTGTGTTAAATTTCGTGGATTGCTAAGATGATAATCCATTAGTCTACCACCACAAATTTTCAGCACACATTAGTTATATTTGATTTTGAGCTAAGCCTGCTCAAAAGTAAATCGAGCTTGAAATCAAAACGAACGGACTCAAATGGAGTTTTTTGAAATCTTTTCAACAAGGAATCGACACAGTCAGGCTCTAAATCAAAACTAAATGGCTCAAAGTGAGTTATGTTGATTTGTTCTAGCTCGAAATTAGCTTGACGTTGGCTTGTGACTCCGTTATTTTTCAATTTTACTTATTCAATCTAAAATTTGAGCTCATAACTCAGCCGTTTATTTCAATCCGAACTCAGTTAGAGTCAAAATTTCAACCGATTTTGAGTGAAAAACGATCTTCATGCTACATTCACGGCAGTAGCCATAAAAACTTGGAAGAGAGTAGCAGTCCTATTGAAAAAAAATTGAAGTCTTATTTATACAAAACGGTAAGAGATGAAAATTAAAAAATTAAAAATAGAAATGGGAATGCTTTTATGGCTGATTAGATTCCACCAGAATTCAATTTCTTTACTTTCTTCGTTGATATTTTCTTAGAAGTTACACGAAACTTCTGGGCAGAGTATGGCCATTGATTATTGCGGACCCGAAAAGTTCATTTGATAGAATGAGATTTCCTTGGAAGTATGAATAAGAAAAATTACATACAAAACATTTAAATTTTAGTGATATATAAAGCTTATACTTGTGTTAATTTTCTTAAAGAATCATGTTCATTTGATAGATTTAGGAAGAGCTCGGATGAACCATACAACACTTATGATGAAGCTGAAGATCCATAAGCTTTTACTTATAAAATTAGGCTGTGCTGTGTAAAGGTGGAGCTTAACAACTTCTTATTTTGTGGGGCGTATGGTGCCTTTACTTTTCCGTTATGTTTTTGGCTTATAATTTGTTTTAACATGCTTGTTATAATTGTATTTTAGATTGATGTTTATTTTTTTTGGGTTTCTCAGAATTGTTTATGCATGGATGGATTGTGATGCGGTAGAAACTTAGGAAATAAATTTTTTTTCTAGTTAAATTAAATAGTAAAAAAAATTATAGTAAATTAAATGAACAAAAAATTTGCATATGCCTCTCCTATGCGTATTCATATTTGATACGGCTCCAATAAATTTCCTTCATCTGGCATGAATTTTGAGGCATGACACGAACTTGATAAAATCTTTTAAGCGAGAAACGTTCAAAGTTTGCTAAAAAATCACTTGGAAGTCCGATTTCATCAAACTTACCGTCAAGCTGATCAGGTCAACAAGACGAACCCAATGATACCAAAATTAATGTGATCTAAGTTGAATCAATCTCAGATCAAGCTATTAAATCACTTTTGGAAGCTTTTTTAGTATATTTGAGAAGGCAAATGAATATTGAATCTGTCTAGTGTATAATCTAATTGAACGCCTTGACAAGAAAAGTCCAACGAGCCCAAGATTGCTCAATTCTGACATCATTAAGGCACTCAAATGACCATCATACGTCGTATGATTAAAGGAAACTCTTCGGACTTTTCAAACAAAGTTGTTCATATTTCTGCATTAATTGCACCCAAAGTTCTTTAAATAGAACCCCATCTCTCTCGTGAGGGGGAGGAGAGCTTGAGGTTTAAGTAAGAGCTTGAAGCTTTGAAAATGAGTTGAAATCCAACATCACTCCTGTCATCATCCAACACCTCCGACCACCATAGAACACCGCCAATTGCCTTCGAGCATTGTCAACCATCTTCGACTATCACTTGTCGGTTTTCGTCGAATGCTTTCAGTCGTTGCCCGTTTCTTGCAAAAAATTTATACGCTTTTTGTTGTAAATTTGTAGACCTGACCATTTCCCACCCGTGAAAAAATTGGTTGCAACTATAATTATCATTTTATAGTGAAATTATTCAGTTGGGTCAGACATCATGGTTTTTCCCTTTACGAGTTTTTCACGTAATAACTTCAGATTTCATTATTAATTGTTTCTCTCTTATGAGTAAGTGTTGAATCTTCGTACAACTCAAATAACATAATCTATTATTCTGCCGCCGCAAATATTCTAGCACACATCAATTTTATTTTTATTTGCTTCTCTAATGCATATGTAATGCCCTTTTGATTTGTGAAGATGAGAGCAACTTCTTAAGTGGATATTATATAAAAATTTTTATCCTAAAACTACACTTCTAAAATTTTTTCGTATGCATTTCGTGATAGTGATACATATAATTTAAAGCAATAAATAAATAAATAACTAGTACATTAAGTATTGGGTGAAGTACCCCCCCCCCTCTCATAGTCTGATAGCTTGATTGATTCAATTGAGTTGTAAGCTCAATAAATCTTCTTAATCAATTAATATTTTTATCAAGCTATATTTACAAGTGAGTGGACATAATGTGTCTAAGAAGCTTAGATGAGTTAGCTAACTATCATTTCTATGTAAAGTTGTGGGTCATGTAGAGTCGGTCTTATTCCATTCTTTTGTGAGTATGAAATCTACAAGTCCCTTACATATTATTTGAATTAAGTTTTGGCTTCTCCCATGATAGTGATCCTCACCTTAGACCACATCCCTTTATGTAGTTTATGCAATGTGTGTTAACCTCTATTAGATTGTCTTCTTAAGGCACCATGCCATGGAAAGACACATCATAATGGTCCTTTCACAAGCTTCTATTATAGTGGTCAATCTTAGTCCCATTAATGTTTCACAATATAATAATATGAAAATGAATTCACTAATTCTTATAAAATAAGCTAATTTATACCTCAGCCCATTGCAATATCATCTTCTTTGTATTAAGGGAAATAGGATCACAAAAAAAAAAAAAATAATAATAATTTATTTTACATGAAAGTATTTAGAGAAATATAATACAATATAAGCTTTGCCATTAAAATATAAATAATACATAGAGATTGCTCACATATATAATAGATAATCATTTATATTTCAGAGTATATCTCTCGATAGCCATGAATATAATCTCATCAATCTCATTTTTTGAATTTTCTTCAGTTTCTTATGTTATCGTCCTTTTTATATTTACTGGGAGTTAAATTAATGTTTTAACCAAGGTATCAAGCATTATTAATTAATGGCATTTTTAGTAGTAAAAATATTATTCTACATCCTTGCTTAACTCCTCATCTATAGGAATTTTTTGATCATCAAACTTTGCTGAGGTATGGATTTTATCATGCATTCTATTATTTCTTGATAATAATTATTTTTTAGATTTTTAAGTTCTAAAATAAAATAATTCATAAATTAAAATTAAATATTCAATAAATGTAAGCTTCTGTAGCAACAATATAATGTCTTAAACTGAAAAAGAAAAAAGATAAGATAGGACTTACACTCAAAAAGCACCACATTTTTGCTGACTTCTTGATAAGTGATTAATGAACACATAATTATGAAGCATTTCAACTTCTTTATAAGACAATAATAAACAAATAATTATTTAAATATCTACTTTATATGTTCTTCTATCCATCACTTGTAATAAACTTTAATCTTTTATTGTTTCTCTTGATTTAAGCACTCAGAGTTTGTTTTTAATAAAAATAGACACAAATAAGACTATAAATTGGCAATGTACAACCTTGAATGGTTGAATATTTTTGGATTAGCTTCTAATCCAAAAATGTCAGGTTCAT